TGTTCTTAACCTCTCTAGCAAGCCTGAGTTCAATCTGCGCTTTAGCTTAATTTTAGGAAAGAGCAGAGAGAGGGTTGGTGGGGATAGAAGAGGTGGTGGAGGGGGAATCCCTAAGAGTATCAGCTTATATCACAGAGAGTTCAGAATAGGTAGAAGGGAGGACACTTTGGATCACTCAAACTATTTAACCCTATTGCTACTACGTTCTCTGAGGAATTCTTGATGCTTCAGTTCTAAGCATTGTTGCACTTCTAACAAACAGGAACCATTCCAGCAGACTGGAGGAGGCAAGTGTTATTTCCATCCTCAAAATGGGCAATTGCCAAACAGTCACCTTGACCTTAATACCAGGAAAAGTTCCAGAATAGATCATAATGATTTGAGTGATTGACTGACTCTAGAGAACAGAATTCGAATCCCCACTTGGCCATGGAAACCCACTGGGTGACCTTGGGCAAGTCACACTTTCACAGCCTCAGAGGAGAGCAAAGACAAACCCCCTCTGAACAAATCTTGCCAACAAAACCCTGTGATAGGTTCTCCTTAGGGTTGCCATAGGTCAGAAATGACTTGAAGGCACATAACAACAAATGTACACTTAGAAAGGAATGCTTTCTAAGAACTAAGATACAGTTCTCAGAAACAAGTAATGCCAAACAAACATTTTCTCTCTTCCTTAGACAGAGTTACAACTTTGGCAAATCAGGGAAGTGCTGTGGATATAATGTATCTTGAGTTCAGTAATGCTTTTGACATGGTTCACCAGGCAAACAGGTGGAATGTAGACTAGGCACTGCTACTGGTAGGTGGATTGTAATTGGTTTACAGAATAAACTCAAAGAGTATTTACTAAAGATTGTTCTTCATCCTGAAGAGACGTGACTAACAGGGTGCCTCAGGGTTCTGTCCTGGGCTTGGTATTCAGTATCTTTATAAATTACTTAGATGATGGAATAGAAGGCATGCCTATCAAATTTGCAATGACACCAGATTGTGGGGATTGGGGTGAGACATACCTCCAAAGATACCATCAGAATTCAAAATGACCTCAAGAAATTGGCCAAAATTAATCAAATTAATTTCAACAGGGATAAATGTAACATACTACATTTACCTTAGGCAATAAAAATTAAATACACAAATGTATCATGGGTGACACCTCGTTTGAAAACAGTACATATGAAAAGGGTCTACAAGTCTAAGTAGACTAAAAGCTAAACATGAGTCAACAGTGTGGTGCACCTACCAAAAAAAAAAAAAAAGCCAATGCAATGCTAGGCTATATCAACAGGAGTATGGTGCCCAGATCAAGGTAGGCATTACTGCCATGCTATTCTGCTTTTATCTGGAATACTGTGTCCAGTTCTGAGCACTACAGTTCAAGGAACATATTGACAAGCTGGAATCTGTTCAGATGAGGGTGATCAAGATGGTAAAAAGTCTGGAAACCATGTCCTATGAGGAATGACTTAGGGAGCTGGATATGTTTAGCTTGGGGAGAGGAAGTGAAGATCTAGAGGTGACATGATGGCCATGTTTAAATATCTGAAGGGATGTCATGTTGCATAGAAGCTAAAGAGAGATTGTTTTCTGCTACTCCAGAGCATGAACTGATGGATTCAAATGATAAGAAAAGAGCTTCCACTTAAATATTAGGAAGATATTTAATTGTAAAAGCTGTTCAAGAGTTGAACAGACTACTTCAGGGGGAGGGGGTGGCCTCAAGAGATCTTTAAACAGAGGTTGGAAGGGCTTCTTTCAAGAGTGTTTTAGTTGTGCTTTCCTGCATGGCAGGGGGTTGAATTAGATGTCCCTTGAGATACTCTCCAGCTTTAAGATTCTATTATTCTATTATTCTTAGGAGCCTTCCTAAGCCATTTTGTTTGACTTTCCTTTTTTAACTAGAGGCTTTAACTAGCTATAAAGATTGATAATCATATGTTAAAGTGATGACATTATGGTCAAAATTCCTATGGTATATGTTTAATAAAATTTATATAAAAGTTCAAACAGCTGGGATGGAGAAGATTCAAGAGAAAAATGTGAAGAATCCAGATA